TAAATCCGTACCTATATGTTCACAATTCATACGATGTTAAGAGCCTACATCGATTTGGACGCATTTTGTTGCTGAATTTCCATATTATTAAGGCTTTATTATTGTAAAGGTTAAGTTAATAGTATCATGTTACTACTACGAATAAAAGTAGGGCGTGAACAGCTTACGGTTTCAGTTTTACAATAGAATGGCACAAACCCTGGCGCAAAAATCAAGAACTCAAAGTCTATTCGCTTCGGCGTAGTATTGTTAAAATTTGCATTTACAACCGAAAAGGATTACTAACTTTATAAGGCTAAAATACATTAAACTTATAATAAAGTCGTAAGTTAAATAAAACATGAACATAATTGTACACATGTTTACGGGTACAAGTGTTAGTACAAAGCAATCTATTTAATTCGTTCGGCGGCAACTGCATTCGGAAGTTATTCATCGCTTGAAGTCAAACCTATAAATATGTCAAAGAAAAACCCTACATCTCTTCTCTGTCTTTGTTGTAAAGCAAAGTATCCTGCCATCTTTATCCGCCGTTGGCGCTATTGGCTTGAAAACTTCTCGTTCCGCCCCTCATTACAGAGACAATGGAGTGAGAAAAAAGAAATAAAATATATCCGTCCTTGTCTACCGGCTGCGTTCAGAAAACGTGTGCAAACGTTGTTTTAAGTAGAAATTTCTTCGCCTAATGAAATTATTTGATTACTAAAATTCGCGAGCGCCGTATGAATTTGATTGTGAACAGCTTGTAAGGATTTATGGAGATTTTACATTCTTGAATTTATGTAGACGTGTGTTTTTAATGAATTGAGTGGGTAATATACGTTTTATAAAATGGAGTATCTATGAATATATCAGGGCTGGGACTTGAAATATATTTATTATCTTAGCTTTAAATAACAAAATGTTATTGACAAATGTACCGATGATTTTCTTTCATTGAATACTGAATGATAAAAGTTTTGAATCTACTCGTTACGTGGAGTAAAATATTTAATCTTTATTTATTGCATATTTTAACTATTTTAGTGTGTTTAAGATGTAATTTTAAAAAAAATCAAATGAAAACTCTTTTACTTAAATTTATCGTAAATATTAAATATCTTAAGTATCGAAAGTACTAAGCCTTTATGGAAAATCCAATAAGAACCCAAATAGAATTTAAATCAATAACGCATTAGGACTGAAACATTTCTATATTAATTGATTTTTATGAAAAGTTTAATTCATAAGCGTAATATTTAACAAGTAAAAGAACACAATTAAAATCACATATTATTTCGTGAAAATTACTTAAGTTTTATTGTTAGAAACAGTAGTATATTTTCCGTGCAATTATTTTCAGTACAAATGGCCATTAAAACGGTAAACGAAAGCTCTAAAGTGTTCAAAGTCCAAACAATGCGGAATTCAGTATCGCGGTTAAAACCAGTACTCGGCTAAGTCATGAAGCCACTCGTACGGAAATAACATCGCTTTCAAGAGTGAAAGAGACGACCGAAATACAAAAGAGATAGCCGAAAAAAGGGTGGGGCGTAAACACTTACCAGCAGCAAAGGAACTTCGCACTTCAACTACATTAAAGCATCGAAGGGTCGTGTTAAGCTGGCAATACAGTAACGCCCCGTCGTTTTGTCCACATACGGTACAATATGGGACGATAATGGGCGATAGCAGTCGCTTTAATAAAATAATCCAGTTGTTTGTAACTAGTGCTCGGGACTGGATTTCAGACAGAGCCGCGCGCCAATTTTGACAGATCGTGTTCTAATTTTATTTTTATTTTTAATCGGTTTTAAACTAAGTGGCCAGTATTTATTTAAAGAAATATTAGACAATTTTGTGATGTGTTTTTAAACGTGTGTTGCTAAATATTTTTATTGAAAATTTAATTATAAGAAGGTAAGGTAAAGTTGCTTTCGAAATAACTTTGATAAATTTAGTCAAACGTTTTTCGAATACAAAAAAAAGAATAAACACGTCATTATAAATTAAATTATATTTAAAACCTCTTTACTTGGCACCTTTGAACTTTGTGCATTAATTTTTAATTTCCTTGCCATAGATATATAACCTACTAGTTGTGACCCGCGATCTCGCGGATATTATGCATACATAGATGTAGATAACAGTCAGAAAGAATACATAGGTTTCTAATTAAGCCTTTTTTAATCCCGCACAGACGGAGTTGAAGACTACAGCTAGTAAAAAATAAACATAAGAAATGTTTACAATTTTCCTTATTAGTCAAAATTTCGGACAACAAAGACATCTTGTCTCGCTTTTTTTCGTTCGCTTCGGATTAGATATCTGTAGGTTTTATATTTCTTATTTACGATCTAACGGTTTAATACACATTTAATAACGTCAATTACAATTTCTTAAAGTATGTTTTCTTTTGTGATAGCCGTCAATGATTGCAACACGTATTACGTGATTTTGAATTAAAAAAAAAAACATTCTTTTTTTTCTTGAAAATAAATTCATTAAGGATTTAAACTTTTCTCATAGCTTCTCTATTCTTATTATAAAAAACCGTTATAACACTGCATAATGTATTATATATTCATATTTACGTAGTATGATTGGGGTTATATAGTTAGAAGCAAATAATTTGGACAGTATGTTTTAATATCGCGTATCTGATGACGTCGCGTGTCGCGTCTCCATTCTACTCGATAACAGAATATTAAAATACGATGATGGTTTTATTACCAGTTGAGCTCTGATATAACTTAATTAAGCGTTAACCACTCTATTATTTTTTTATCTTTTTAATTAAATTTGATATTATTGGTATGTAGACAGCTAACATTTGGGAAATGTAAGGCGTTATTAGTCAATTTAACGCAGTGTTATTGGAAAGGCTTTTCCGAAAAATATTTTTCTTTTGTATCGGGAATATATTTGACTATTTAATCTAGTTTACAGCTAGGTTGTAGTTGAGAGTTAAGACATAGACGTTATTTGATTAACCGTTGTTATGTCTGTTTTTTTTTTAAGAAAATGAGCTTGACAAGATGATTTTGTACAGTTGATTTGGCATTGGGAATCCACGGTTACAATGTTTAAATCTATTTCAGGTCTGTAATGAAATATATTCAATACATAAACTGAAGATCATGTCATCGCAAATTCTACCTCAAGCTATGTACCGCCGCGACTCCGACGAAATGCAAGAAAAACCACTGGAAATAGATCAGGATTCGAACCCCGATAGAAGCCAATCTAACAGCCCGAAAAACATGAAGTATTATAAACATATTGACGAAGATAAAACAATAATAAATCAAGGAAAGAAATCCTTTTGTATCGACGCGTTATTATCACGTCATATCGAGCCCGAGACATCTATACAGGACAAAATGGCTCAACAGAAATATCTATCGTTTATACAAAATAAGAATTACATCGCGAGATATCAGAATGAGAATTACGAAACTCAGATAGAGCAGAATACTATAGATAGATGTCAGAATCGTGGGGAACAGGGGTTCGATAGAGTGGAGAGTGAGAGTCCGCGGTCGGGACAGAGCAGTCCTAGGAGTGGTACACCGGGGTCTGATGACGGGAACAGATCGGAGAGCTACAGCCCTCCGATATCCCCGGGTGTCGAGGGTACGGCTGAGGAATATGAAACCTATAGACCTGGTAAGTTACATAAAGATCTATACAGTAAAATCCTTTTGGTTTAATTCATTTTTTTTATTGATGCATTTGGACGTTCATTGTTCTTTGTCGCATTGAATTCAGATACACAATTTTCCAATTTCTTTTCATTGCGCAAAATAAAGATTGCATTTAGCCAGATTTGAAAACGTCCGATGTGAGTTTGTGGTAAAAAATAATTGTGCAATCACACCGCACACATTGTAGAACGTGGCCTTGTCATCTGTTTCTGACATACTAGCGTGACTAACATGAACATTTTTCCTTCAGGTATAATTCCGAAACCTGGCCTACTACCGCAGAATCCCGCGCTGGTCGCAGCGCAGTCTTCGCTGTTCAACTACCCGCAGCTTGCGCAGCCCGGGGCTATGCCCCCGGGGGCTCCGCTACCGTCCGCATTTCACCACCCCGGTGACCGCGTCTTACATCATATGCAGCTCGAATGGTTGGCAAGAACTGGAATGTTTTACCATCGTATACCGGAATTGGGAGGTAAGTAATTAAAGGCTATATAATAACTCAGTTTATTTTTTGTGTAAAAATGTTTTTTTTTTTCATTTAACTAAAAATTATGTTAAACTTGTTACTTTCACAGAAAATGAATAGTTTAATAGCTTACTTGATAACAAATCTAGAGTAGTTATTTTAATTAAAAACTTATGAATTAAGTTTGAAAGCGCCTAAAAACGGAATAAGGAAAACAATAAATAGTTCTATAAAGTTAAAAAAAAATCAAACTATAAACAAACGTGATGACTCAATGTTTTTGACCAATTTTTTTTACAATTATAATTAGCTTAACTTTTTAACACTACCAAAGCTCTCCCCTATCATTTTGCTCGGTTTTCCGATGATTGTTACTAGGGGACCAGCACAGCACATGGCGCTGTTTAGTGTTAATTGATCATCAAACAGAGCAACCTGCACAAAGCCGAGGGGCGACAATCTTTATTTATATGGGACTAGTATAAATAGTTGTGCATTTTAATAGCCTTAATAAGTATAACTTTTATTAAATGAAAGCAATGTAGTTTTTAAAATTTGCCAAACATATTCTTTGTACGTTGCCAAGTATAAGGATGATTATTGGGTGGATGGAAGGTTCATTCTACTTTACTTTTTTTTATAAGAGAAGGGGTAAACGAGCGGCGGGAACACCGACTATGAATAATATGACTTTTAGTCTTTATTGTTTTCAGACTATTTTCTATATCTATGCTAAATTATAGCTAAACCCCTTTAGCAGTTTTAGAATTATCTTGAAACAAACATCCATCCATTTAAACTTTTTGATTTATAATATTAGTATAGTTTAATAATGTTAGAATCAATACCTTTTAAAAGTTGAATAATAATTTTGTGGACATGTCATAAATACGGTTTCGTAAGCTTTATCCGAGCTTGGTACAGTGGGTAAATCAGCAAGAGAATTAAGTCGGTATTTGCGAGCGCACCCTCCACGCCGCTATGTTTGCTGTCCACACATGTCACCTGTTCACATTTGACACCCCTTTCATCTACTGATCTCACACACCAACGGTCATGTTTATATCTGAAACAAATCAGAGAGCAATATTTATAAAATGTTTACCAAATTATTATTATAAAGCGCCAATAGCTAATGGTTAGGGTACGGATTTCCGATCAAGAGGTCGCAGGTTAGGATGCAGCAGGATAGAGCTAAGTTGGAATGGCAACAATATTAGTAAATTTGAAAAAAATCTCCTAATATCTAAAAAAAATATTTTTGTTATATACGAAATTTTAGAACACATAAAGATGTTAAAATGTAATCATATTATTGTAATTGTAATAAACATAAATATATCTTAAATCTAATCTTTGTCTCATCAATCATACATTTAAAATCGAGTACGTCTTCCCAAGACATATTAAATCCAAGTAACACGATAACGTTCAGCATCCTATAGAAATATGTTTATCTTAATAAAAGTAAGAATCAAATGATAAGGTGAACAAAATTCGTGTGAATAATATACAATGATAACGACACACCTCTTGATGAAAGTCAACGAAAAATTATATTTTGTGTTACTTTGGGTTGTTTTGTTTGTTTTCTAAATACTTAAAAACTATAACAGTTATTTGATGTAATTATAATTCTAATTCACATCGATAGACTTTCACACTTATATTTTAGCTAACTGTAATAACTAAAAATTAAAAAAAAACTATTCGTTAAGTCGATACAAAAGAACCCAAACTCGGTGAGGTTGTGTCGTTTCAATGCGAAGCTATGACCACAATCCAGCGTCATCATCTGGTCAGCACCATATCATCATAATATTGGATTATCTCGCGATTTATACACATATGAGATAAAAATTTCAACTGATTCAGTAATCGGGAAGTTTCAAATTATATTTACAAAGATAACAAACATCGGGACGAGTAAAACTTTAAAAAGGCTTGAAAATAAATGAGCCAACACTTGCTTAAAAATCAGTTGGTTTTAGATTCAATGTATGCCTCTTTATTACTGTATTCTATAATAACTTAATAATGTAATATAAAATATATTACATGAAAAAACCGCTTTAAAATGGAGTATAAATGGCGGAAAACGCTCATAAAAAAACGATATGACTAAATAACAAACTTCAGTACAACGCTGAAATAAGCAGCGGAAATTGCGTGATGGATTAGATTGTAAAGATCATTGATAATATCTTGTTTTTATATCAGAAATCTCTCAACATCTCAGTATTGAGTTGATTGATAAATTACGACACGAAATGGGGCATTTCCGGAGATAAAAAAATACTGTTTTAAGAATGATCTGATAATTCTTCACTTGTTGAATGGAAGGATAAGAGACACAATCAAACAACTACACTTTTGTTTAAAATGATAAACTGTCTTTTTTTCCTTTTTCTTTTTTTTAATATTCATTATCTATGGTTAAGCATTTTAATTTCATTACTTACTAGCTGTCGACTGCGTCCGCATGGAATTAAAAAAAAACTAATTAGTAGTCTATGTTTTCTTGCAGACTATGTTCTATACGTATGCCAAATTTTATCGAGATCCATTCAGTTTTTCTGAAGATACTTTCTAACAAACATCCATCCATCCATCAATCTAAACATTCGCTTTTATAATATTAGTAAGAAGCAAGATGTAAATAATTAAATTTGAGGGTTAGGTTAGTGTGTGCAACAGACTACATTTTTTTTCTTTTTATCTTTTTTTTCTATAATCTATGGACGTATAAGTACGTTTCATTATGAATGAACATTAAGTAAAAGCACCATTTGATGGTTACAGCTATCACATATGTCGGGTCGGGACACCGCTTTAGGGCCCTGGATGGCATTTTATTGGCGGGGTGTTGAGTGCAAATCTTGCGTGATTTATTCCCCAGAAATTAGGGCCTCGATCCATTAACGTTAAAGTGAGCAATAAAATTACTTACCGACATTTATTACTAAATTACATTTCATATTATAATTTAAAAATTCAAATAGTTTCAACTTAATGTAAATCAATAATATGTAAAATTTATTACCTACTCGTAGTTTTCATTTTTTATTGTAAAAATATAAATTTAAGTTCGATTAGTTAAGCTATTATGACATATTTATGTGAATGTAACTTTCAAATCTATTTTCTTTTAATTTAAAATCTTTTTTAAATAGTGTGTAGTGTATAGTCTTTATTATTAAAGATTTCTCTGGATATCAAACATCAATAACTAAATAAAATATTTTTATTATGTAATTTTTAATATAATTTATCAAATTATCAGTCAAATTTAAACCTTATCAATAATATACATAACGCCTATAAATATAGTAATTATCTCCCAATTAAGTCGAGACTTGTTAATTAAAACATTTTCCTTTTTGATCTGATTAAAAAATTTACTCATAACGTGGTTTGGGATTTCGAACGTCAAAAGTCCTGGACAGACTGCGGTTTTATAAATTTCACTTTTGCGCTTTATTTTCAAATTAATATATTATAACTTAAAATTTTATTTACATACTTAATACTAGCATACTTATATAATATTATAAATGCGAATGTTAAGATGGATGGATGAATGGACGTTTGAAGGTATTTCCCGTACGGCTCAACGGATCTCAATGAAATTTGGTATACATATAGAACATAGGCTGGAATAACACATAGGCTAATAGGTATGTGCTTTTTAAAATTCATTGAATAGATTTTGAATTGATAGATAAAAACATGAATCAAGAAAACTTTATTTTATTTGCTACGCTTTTTTATAATTTCTACTACAAGTTTTGCTGCTAATTAACCAGTTTTAAATTTAACATATCAAAAAGACAATAAGTAATATATATTAGCATTTAGGATTTGCAGTGGCAGTGTGTCGTCATTCAGCCGACGCTGGAGGCCCCAGGGGAGCCTAAGCCAATTATCAGGCAGCAATTTGTTCGCACAAACAAAGGGTCTGTGCGGCCCTTGACAAATTAGATCCACGTGTAGAGACGCGAAGGAACGTGGCATTATTTTATCGATATCTTGATAATTGTTTTTTTTTAATTTTATTAATAGTCAATTATTAAGTTTTTAAAGATAATTACCGTATGATAGTTATTATAGAACGCCTTAGTTTTCTCCTTAATCTACTACATTCGTTTTATTTTTAATTATTAACTCTAACACTATAAATATATGTCAACTTTATAGTTTATAGTAATTTTTCTTAACCAGTCCTTGCAATATATTTTTTTCACAAAATTTATTGACAAGTACGCAATTACAAAAAGTTATCGACAAGTCATCAGTACAACACTAATTAAGCGTAGCGTTATGTCGGAAAAAGGGACAATTTACAGTGGATTTTCAGTAAGGAATCTATTTAATCAGTACTGGCCGAGGAGTGGTCATTATGTTTGGCCAAAAGTATTTAATGGACTCGTACATGTATGTCATGAAAATAATAGGATTAAAACATTTTGAGTCAAGATATCGATGTATTTTAAACAGTAAAAATAATTAATAAGTATTCCTTTTTATTTAAAGTAGCCCTTTATTCGACCACGCCTTAACCTAGTTCTAGAAAAAGGACCAATGTTCATTAGATTATATACATAAATGTAATTCCGCAATCCCGGTTTAGTTTACCGAGTCTGTTTCATATAGAAGTTTGAAAAGTAACAAAGGAATAGTTATATCTGTTATGACAAAAAAGTAATTGTATATAACTGGTATGAATAATTTAAGCAAATAAGTAAATACATGTATTTCATAATACATAAATAATTTACAAAGCCGTTAATAATTAAGAATCTTTGAGAAACTCGTTGATGTCTTTTTCTTCACAGTTTCAAATTAGTTACATTTACATCGCCAACTTTGTGCTAAATTTAAAATTGGTCTACAATAAGACATACAGTACTACTTAAGTACTGTTAAAATAGCCAACGTATTAGTACAACAATATTAGTAAACAAAGTCTAACTGCCACACACTTTAAGTGTTCGCTAAGGGAGCCCATACTGAAGGCGACTGTAAGTAATCATTTTAAGATTCAGTATAAGGCTTAAAATTTAATTTACTTTATCAATTGTTATCTAGTTGGTATACAACTATAAAGTGCGTATGCATTTAGTCACGCCCTCTAGCCACCAGTTTATGTACTCAAGAGGTGTACAAACGACGCCTACATTTATCACTTTACGTAAGGAATATTGAAGTACGGAACACAACCTTGTACCATGACATTCATTATTTTACGGTTATTACCGCTTTGAATTATACTTAACATAAGTAAACAGCGTTCATAGAATAACAGACTTTAAGTATTTCCAAGACAAAGATTAAAAATTTTGAAGACGTAATTTGACTCTTACTATAAAACGTAACTGAATTTTGATGATTATTTATGTAGTGTAAAGCCACCACGATTTTTTGTGATAGACGAACTTAAGACTTTAGATCTAATTTGCCATTTTGTTTCATTTTAAAATATGTTCTTTATGCATTGTATTTTTTTCATAAGCTAATTATAAAATATAGTGAAGTTTTATTGCACAAAGGATGTTACTTTTGCAAACGTGTTTAATAAGAAAACAAGGCAACAAAACATTAAAATTTGACCAGTTGTTACATCCTCCATCGAAGAATTTAATTGTTCGAAATTATAAACAAACAAATTAGCGAACAATAAACAGAAATAAATTTCGCGCCCGCTCTGAATTAAACGACCCTCACTTTTAGAGCATTAAACTAATCACCCCAATAAATATTAAATAAATACCACCCCTCCTTAATACGTCCAAATTATAATGACCTAAACGAGTTGGTAATTTCAATGCTAGCACGTATCTAAATAAAATGGTAACTTATAGAGGGTGATTTTTTTCTATTAAAGGTTCAACATACGATCAACATGTTAGTATTTAACAAGTTAGGGGATGGTCACACTAATTTTACGCTTGATTTGCAACACACTATTTAATTCCCAAAACTCCATGCATGGCAGATAGTGGCAATATATTTATTGAAAATTAATTTTAGTATTTTTCACATCAAATTAGTTATATTTATTAATTA